AAAGACTTCCAAAGACTTCCAAAGACTTCCAAAGACTTCCAAAGACCTCTAAAGACTTCCAAAGGATTCCAAAGACTTCCGACGAAGTGTACACCAGACTTCCAAGGAGATTCACCCTTCGACACAAAACATTGGCTGAGCCAGTTTTACACAACTAGAAATATGATGCCGTTTAATACTTGTACGCTTTTTCATTGAATGCGACTGTACATCTGATACCAAATCCCGGAAGAAAAACGATCAATTCCTTGGAAAAATACAGATTGCCGAAAAAGAGTAATATGTTGAGTGATGTAACTTAGCGTGTTGAGAACTGCATATAGGCCAATTTCCATTTCTAATTATTTTCATCACATCTGTCATGATTTCGAAATTTATCTGGATTCATGTTACGGTACTTAGATAGACTTACTACATACACCAGTAGCTTTCATTCGTTTCTATAATAACATCAAATGAAGTTTTTCACGGTCCCTACCCCTGTTTCAATTATTTTTAATGACATAATGATAGGCACATAATTATAGATATAAACAACGAGACACAATTTCTAATAATTACGAAAATTAGGAATCAATTGACGCAACTATTACTTCAAGTAGGTACAGTCATCGTAGATCATCAATGGATATTTGCGAGTATATACAAGGTGTTCCACGGTGGATGGAATATTAGGAGTATCTGGAGAAAAGAAAGACAGATCATTGAAAAAATTATGGGCCTAGATAATCAAACATGCTCTATCCGTCTGGAATATTTTCATCAATACAGTGTTGCCGCTTATATCAGAAAGTAGTAACAACCTTGTTATTTCAAATGAAACCCCTTATTTAATATTTTTAAAATTCTTATAAAATTCCTCATATGTTTTTCTGATGATTCTCTATACCTATATATGGCTTCTTCAAAAAGTATCGATTCGAATATTGTAATCTTCTTGTCGCGTAAAACCATCATAAAAATTCCAAACATTGACATTGTCAATATATTCATCTTCGAAGAAAAACCAATACTTCAATTTGCTACAATCATCTAAATTGCGCCACATTTGATGTGAGACGTGCAAAAATGTCTTCCAATAATTTCCAACTGTCATAACTTTACCGTTTCGAAACATTGACCTACAGAGTGATATCTGAGGATGTGATGATTTTCGGAAATTTTGAGATCGCCCCATTAGGCAGAGGTTTTGATGGGATACTGATGTTGTACTGAATGAAATTAGCCATTACAATCTTGAACGGAATTGGAAATTGTTTGATCCAATCCAAAATTATGACGGTTCAAAAATTAAAGAAAGTTTTTCTTTCCTCACTTCAAATGCGGAGGAGTTCATTTCAACGTGTTGCGTTGCCATGTTTCATTTTCAGGAATGGGTAATAAACTACGCAACACTATAATTTCGTTGCACCCCAAAATTTTGTCTGTTGAAATATGAATAACTTTTTTCTGCTTTGAACGATTTGAATTCGGATCACACTGTTCGCTAGCCCAGTGCCAGCGAGCACAAAAACATCTCAGAGATGTTAAAACTACGAGATTTCGAGACATTGAACCTCCACTGCGATGTTCTGTTCACACATGAATAGAACTATTATAGAACAGCCAATGTCCGCCGCAGGCGGCAATTATCGAGATGTCCTTGATATGTTACAAAACTACCTTCTCCCTAGTTCTTTTTTAAGCCTTTCCATGGACACAACAGAACATTTTCAACGCATCTTGCGCACATTAAATCGCTGTAAAAAAACCATTTTCGAGGTACTTTTCTGAAGCTTTTTGTCAAAATGAACTTTTGCATTAGCATTCCATTTCCCTTCAATGAAAAAATGCATTAAAAATAGATTGAACATAAAAATATTCTCTTGATATGAAATTACCTTCTTAATCGGTTTCTGAGTAGTGCTTACTACACACAGACATATAATTGGAAATAGGTTCCCCAATTTTTGAAATGTTCTACAGAATGCATAATTTTGCAACTGCGGAGAAGCTGTGTATTGATGAATTCGTACTTTTATATATTGATAACACTGAGGCACCGAACAACACATCTTGCATCTGATGGTCATTATTACAAACTAAATAAGTCTTCTAACACAATAAACTTCAACAAATTCCTTTCTGTTCGTTACCAGCGTGATGTAAGCGTGACACGCTGCAAACGCGAATGCCAATTGCGAACAAGAAGAACAAAATCGAAAACAAATCAGAATTTATCGTATTGTGACGTAAGCATGAGACATTGTGGTGGGGCAAACAAAGAAAGGGCACAAAAGAACAAAAACAATACTTTCAATATCCTTCTAAGATCTCTTTGGGAAGTGCATATTACGCCTCAAAAAAACATCCTCATGCCTACATTTCTAAAACATCCCAAAACATCCCAGGGATACCTCTCAGTAGAAAAACCAAGAAATGCCACAGAACAAAAACAGTACTTCAATATCCTTCAAAGACCTCTTTGGTCAGTGCATCATATTACGTCTCAAAATAACATCTTCATGCCAACATTTTCGAAACATCCCAAAACATCCCAGGGATGATTGTGCTCGCTGGGTCAGCTATAATCTCGTAATTCTTCAAAACATAAGGTGCTTCACATAAAATCGCTACAGGGTGTTACCTGAAACTGTTGAAATTTCTGAAATTTCAAAAGAGTCCCAAATGAAGAAAAACTCTGACAGTAGAGGCATATTATAGATGACCTCATCATCTTGGAACCGTTCTCGAATTGTCTCCTTACCACTTTTATCTACAAAGTGATTTCAAAAAATCAACTTTTTGGTTTTGCAGTCATAATTTCTTCCTCGTCAATCCATTTTTGGAAACTCAGGCTTATTTTGAAGCTTCAACTTCAGATGAAGAGATATGAAGATCATAATTGACTCAAGATGAACATTATAAAGTGCTCGATAGTGTGTCTCACTTATAATGAAAGCATCCCTGTATCTTTCGTAATTGTTGAGTTAGGATTCTGAAATTCGCAAGAGCGGTAGATATACTGAAAATACATTCTATGACCAAGTGGAGTCGTCTCCAGTGATATACACTGCTCGCCAACTGCCATGGAACCACCCACAAAAAAGATATAAGGAGGCAAGATAGGTTGAAAATCACTTCGGATTCTAAATCAGGACGCCCCTTTCGCTTGCTCCTGCAAATTCCAGAACCCTACCTCAATAATTACGTGAGATACGGGGGTGCTTCCATGAGTAGTGAGACAAAATTTAATTTTTCTGAACTGAAAATTTTCCAGGAAAAATATGTATAGTCAGTGAATTGGAAGTCCTGAATTCGAATCCGAAGTGATTTTCAACCTATCATGGCTCCTAATAACATTTTCTTGAAATTTTGGTTCCATTGCTGTTGGCGAGCAGTGTTTATCACTGGAGATGACTCCACGTGGTCATAATGTTCATTTTCACTATATCCTACGCTCCTTTGAGTTCCAGAATCCTAACTCAACAAAACAAAAAACAAAAACCGAAAGAAATTATCTTGGAGTGCGACGAAATTCGTGTTGTGTAGTTTATATCACATATTCTTGCATCGACATTGTAGGTGGGCTCGCTATAGTCACGTAGGGATCGTTTTGAATTGGTTATTTTATGAATATGATATTATGTAACTTTTTCTGATTCCTACGCACGAATCCGTCGAGAAACATGATACCGATCGCAAAAAAAAATCCAGCATGATCAGCTTTGCTGATTTGGTAATAATCAATCATCGAATTCAGATTTTACATTGTGTCACGTTTTTCAGTGGAAATATTATACTGGGTAGTTCAAAATTGTACTGTATCCTTCAGGATTAAGTCTTTTTGGTATTTGAGAAAGGGGTCCTATTAACTTAAGCTGCAAACGCTTAATTACCGAGATACATGGTGTTTTTCATTTTCATAAAATATAGGTTTTGATTTCGTTACTCTAGACATTTGGGTTCTTCTCTACTTGGAAATATGTATTGCTTTTACGACAACTTTCTTATCAATATACCTGCGATAAAAGGGGAAATCAGATGATATATCCCAAACTGTCACTGATGCGCCGAGTGATGCGCTGTACGTCGTATCAGAAACATAAGAAAAATACTAACGAGTATTATTACTATGCAACCAAGAATACATTCGTATCTCTACAATGTGGGTGGAAAAGAGACGCTACATCGAAAATGGTCACGTGGCACTCAATCATTGTTGAAGACCTGGTACTTCTTCTTCGTCTTCTTCTCCTGCAAACCGTTTTCAAACAAGGTATCACTGACTATTGATGGAAGTTTTACTCTTTGGTTTCAAATAGGGAAATTTCAAGCTCAAACTGTTGCACAACAATGTTTGCTTGGTCTGTTTCCGATATGAACCAATGAAAGCGAAGGTCAACGCTTTCCTATGAATTCCAATGCTGTCTTCTTAGTTGAAATGGACTATTGGAGTAGGCGATTTCAATCAACAATCAACGGATATTTCGAAAATTAATGAAATGAAAATCATCGAAAATTTCATCGATAGTTATCAATGGTATTGATATATCTGATTTTTTATCGATATCATCCATAATTATCGATATATCTATAAATTTGCCCACCCCTACTTGGCATCGGCGATTCAAAATGAATTTGCTTGATGGACCACAATAATATTATAATGACGTTGCACAAACATTTTGAAATATTGGAATTGTAATATAATAATATGGCATCACTGCCATAGTTCTGTAACATTCCAAATGCAACTTCAATATAGTAATATTGTGGCAATAATAATTGCTGAACCTTTCTGCTGTAAACGGAACTTTCATGAAGAAAAGATACAGTTTCTTTCCTAAAACGATTCTCTGAACCCGACGGTGCTAGGTATCACAAATACAATATTTCTGCAATATTACTGAGATATTGCACATGCAACTACGATATTGCAATATTGTGGCAATATTTGCTGAATAATTCGTGCTATAAACACAACGGTGCTAGAACTTGACCCTTTCTTTTCGTTCCAGATGAGACGGCCCCTCTGTCCGAGGCCCACTCGTCGCCGATGCTGGCCACGCGGGGCGGCGCGGGCGGCAAGAGTGCCGCCCCTAGTCCGGGGACGGTTACTTCCGGGGGCGGGCGCGAGTGGCAGCAGGACGAGGACATCGACAGGCTGGTGGGGCTGCACGCCAGGACGAGTTTGTCCAGCTTAGGGGTGAGTAGAGTTCCTAAATGTACTTGACACTGCTGTTTTGACGTTTTTTGTATGAGAGGGTTAGAAAACACAAAATCATCTCGAAAACGTTCAATAATCGAAAGATTATTTAGGGGAACGTGTTTCGGACAGTCATGTGTCCATCATCAGCCTTAATCCTTACAAACCAAAGGTCCTATAATATGATACAAGTTAATCATGAAAAATGTATGAAATAGAGAATTTACTCACGTGGGAATGAAAAAAACACATCATGAAATAGTTATTTATTATACAAGGGAAAAAAGTAGTAGATTTTAGCTCCAGGTTGTGTTGTCTCCCGACGCGTAGCGGAGTGAGACAAAAAACCGTGAGCTAAAATCTAATATTTTTCCCGTGTATAATACACTATTCTTTTCTGTGACAGAAGGAAGAATGAATCAATATTGAGAAGATATTACATTATTTCGAAAACTGAAAATTGCCGACGTGAAATTTCAAGTTTTTAACAGTAGGGACACCTGCGTTTTATAGGCATCTTTATCATTCTTTTGAAGTAATCAAATATCTGATGTCACTTCTGTCAGTTCAATTCTGTGATTTGATTTAAAAAAAATGCGAATTCAGTAGTTGTTTAGTAATATACGAAACCGCGAAGTCGAATGGAAGATAAAAGGACTTTCTCTTTCTCGGAGACGGTATTATTGACTCATTTTTCGAAACTATAGCACAACAAAAGCCATTAACAGAGTATATATATGTGATATATATCCGGGAAAAAAGTACTCACTTTTTTCCCACGGGAAAAAAGTAATTTATGAAAAGTGACATTTTATAACCTGCCAACAGAGATGAAATGCCCAACTTTTTTCCCGTCACAGAAAAAAAAACATTGAATGAAATTATTGTGCAAATAAGCACCGGTTAAAGGTCAGATTAATTTTAAAGGAGCCCTGTGCCCCTATGAGGACGTACATTATCACGATTCAATGGCAAAACTCGTTTTTGGAAAAACCGAAAAAACGGTGTCAAATAATATTACTCAAAACAAACCTTCATCATCAGATGATAGAGGACAAGTGGCGTTTTCAGCAATCCACAAAACGAAAAATGTAAGTTCTGTAATGACAAGACACATATGACAGTGACAATGTCAACTGACCGTAGATAAAGCCTAGTGGACGACCAGAAGCACCACTCCCAGACAGCACCAGATATTCCATGAATCTCCCTATCATATTCCTTTTGGAATATTGGAACATTCTAGAAATAATCTGGAATATTCTGGAATATCTGTGGAATATTCTCCAAATATGCGAATGGGAATTCCTCAGATATTCGTAGAATATATCCGAAAGAATATTCCATGTTGAATATTCCTGGAATATTCCAATAAACAATTCTAAAATAAAAAAAAGTGAACCTAGTAGGGATCGAACTCGTGACCTCAAGACTATCAGACCAACGCCTTCACCACTAGGCCAGTAATCGAATTGAATAATGTTGTACATATCAATTTCTTGTGAGAGCGTTGTTCGAAATCGGATCATAAACACTTTTTGTTTCAAAATCCCCTTACATTTAATTTTGATGTTCGATACTCACAACTCTGAAATAATGATGGGTATTTATGTGTTGAGAAACATAGGAATATTCATGGAATATTTCATGAATATACACCACAGAATATTCAGTTGAGAATATTTCATGAATATACCGCACAGAATATTCAGTTGAGAATATTTCATGAATATACCCCACAGAACATTCAGTTGGGAATATTTCATGAATATACAAGAGAGAATATTCATTTGGGAATATTCCTGGAAAATTCATACCTGAATATTTCCTGAACATCCCTTTGGAATATTCCTTCTAGATGTTCCAGAGGCATGTATATATTCTAGGAATAATCGATGAATATTCGGAATATACTCCTCCTTTTTAGCATCCCTGCCAAAAATGTCTCATAGAAACTTATAAAAAAATATATATGAGAATTAATGAGAATGAAGTTGGATAGTGAAACAGTAATTCCGTATAATCCTATGTATTTTGCAGATACATATATAATCAGTTTCTAATGGCGATTCTCTCCCTTTTTCTTATAAGTATGAACTGTTTTTCGCAGATATATTCATAATCAGTTCCTACTAGTAATTCCTGGTTATTTACATATGAGGATATATCAGAGTCAAGTTGGATAGTGAAACAGTAATTTATAAGCTCGAAATGTATTCTGCAGTTACATTTATAATCAGTTCCTAATGGCAATCCTCAATGGAGTCGATGAGTTTGAACTGTAATTCACAGATACATTCATAATTGGTTCTAAATGGCAATTCCTTATTAAAACATCGTAATTCATGATTTTGAAATGTGTTCTGCATGTACATTCATGACCGGTTCCTAATAGCAATTTCCAACGAAGTCTTTGAGTATGAACTATGTTTTACAGATACATTTATAATCAGATTCTGATGGCAATTCCTCATTGAAACACTGTGGCATTCATGAGAATGGAATGTGTTCTGCATATACATTCATGATGAGTTTTTAATAGCAACTCTATGAGTATGAACTCTGTTTTGCAGATACATTTGAAATCAGTCCCTAATTGCAATTTCTTATCGAATTGACGTGGCATTTATGAGTTTGAAATGTGTATTGCAGATACATTCATAATGAGTCCCTTATAGCAATCATCATCAGTTCCTAATTGGAATTCCCCATTGGAACACCGTAGCATTTATCAGTTCGAAATGTGTTTGACAGGTACATCCATGATGGGTTTCTATTGACAGTTCTTCATGTACTCAATGAGTATCAGCTGTGTTTCACAGATACATTTATAATCAGTTCTTAATAGCGATTCTTTTCGAAGTCTTTGAGTATGCACTCTGTTCTGCTGATACATGTATAATCAGTTCCTGATTGAAATACCGTGGCATTCATGAGTTGAAAATGTGTATTGCAGATACATTTATAATGGGAATTTTTGAGTATGAACTGTTTTGCAGATACATTCACAATCAGTTCCTTATTATAATTTCTTATTGAAATACCGTGGCATTTATGAGTTTGAAATGTGTATTGCAGATACATTCAGAATGAGTTTCTTATATCAATTCCGTATGAACTCTATTAGTATAAACTCTGTCTTGCAGAAACATCCATAATCAATTCATAATCGGAATTCCTTATTGGAGCACAGTGGCATTTATGAGTTCGAAATGAATCCTGCTGGTACATTCATAATCAATACCTGATAGCAATTCCTCAGGAACACTTAGAGTATAACTCTGTTTTGCAGATACACTTATCATCAGTTCCTTATTGGAATTCCTCATTGAATTACCGTGGCATTTATCAGTTTGAAATGTGTTTCACAGGAACAATCATAATGAGTTCCTATTGGCAGTTTTTCACGTACTCTATGAGTATAATCTGTGTTTCACAGATACATTCATAATCAGTTCCTAATAGCAATTTCTTTCGAAGTGTATGACAATAAACGCTGTTTTGCAGATACATTAATTATAATTAGTCCCTAATCGGGATTTTTTTCAAATACCTTGGCATTTATGAGTTCAAAGTGTGTATTGCAGATACATTCATAGATAGCTTATTATAGCACAGTCATATGGAATCTACGAGTATGAATTCTGTTTTGCAGATACATTTCATAATCAGTCACTAATCGGAATTTATCACTAAAATACCGTGGTATTTATGAGTTCAAAATGTGTATTGTAGATACATGCATTCATAATGGGTTCATCATAGCGATTCCATATGAACTCTGATTTGCAGATAGATTTATAATCAGTTCCTGATCAGAACTCCTTATCGGAATGCAGTGGCATTTATGAGTTTGAAATGTTCATTGCAGATACTTTCATAATCAGTTCCTCATAAAAATTCCATATTAACTCTATGAGTATGAACTGTGTTCTGCAGATACATTCATAATCAGTTCCTGATCAGAGTTCCTCATTGTACTACAGTGGCATTTATGAGTTTGAAATGCGTTCTGCAGGTATATTCATGATCAATTCCTGATGTATAACTCTGTTGTGCATATACACTTATCATCAGTTCCTAATTGGAAGTCTTAATTGAAACAGCGTGGCATTGATTAGTTTGAAATGAGTACAACATATCTATTCATAAAGAGATACTATTGACAGTTCTTCAGTTTTTTGTACTGAACCCCTGCTTATTTTTTCATGTATCATTCGATTTTGTTTCCAAGAACGATCTCTCATATTTTTTCTGTATAAACCAACAGAAAAACAGTTGAACTTTAAAAAAAATAGTCAGTTTTTTCATTGGCATATATAAAATTTGCAAATTTAAAGGAAGAGTATTGAAGAAAGTTTCTTGGATGAATAAAATTGACAATACATAAAAAAGTTGAGTAGGGGTTCGAAATATTCGTGAATACCCTGTACAGGCTGTCCCATTTTCGATGTCATAACGGGATAGGTATCTCATTTATTTTCTAAAATAGAGATTTCCCATTTTCGCAAACGTGGGCTTCTTTTTAGTGAAACTCACGATACCCTTAACCAAGTTTTTGTAGCCCGCTGCCTTTTTGAGATACAGGGCAAAATTGAAAATGCTGCATTTCGGGACCCTTCTTGTATCTCAACCATCTTCCAATTCATCGAAAAAGTCGAAAGTGTTTGTCATACATTTTTTCACGTAGAATCCAGTGGCGTAATCAGAATTTCAGAATAAGCTGTTATTATTCAGATATAATCAATCCAAAGTTATGTTTTTTCAAATGGAACATCACGTATATTTTTCCTCATTTGAAACATTGATGCTTTTCGCTTTTCAAAAATATACAACTCATGAGATATTTCTAGTCTTAGCCCAACATTCTGATAAATTCTTGTTTCTCAGTAGACTTTTCATCGATTGAACTTGTAAATATCTGGCAACATTGTCCATATCATGAATTTTCATATTTGCCTTATTGCTGATACAGTGTTTCGTCACACACTAGATTCAAT